TCATGAGAGTCACCTGTCAACTACATTCATCACAGGTCGGGATTTTGCGTGTTGGAGGTTTGTGTGTGTGCTTTTCACATATTACCCAGCGGCAACACCTGCCTAGCTCATAATCAATTGCTATGGAAACATGTTATTCTGTGTGATTAATAGCATACACACATCTTATGTTTCTCTCATTTGTCTGAGAGTTGCTCAAGGATGCTTAAACAGAAATATCCAGCGCTGTGCTGTGTTCATTCTGGTAGCGTGCCTTTGCTTATCATTGGCAAGTCATGTCTCGACTGCTGAATTTGAACATACTGAGAGACAAAAGAGAGCAAAACGACTGTAAAAGATCTGTGACAGGATGTCAGAAGTTGTCTTCGAAATGCAGCTGGTGAGATTATGAATAATTGATAGCATTTGTTGAGCTGACATATGACAGTGAAGCCTGACAGTTTTGTGTCAAAAGCATGTTAGCATGCTTGTTTTGACATTCTCGATTTTGGAGTTTGACAAAACCGATATTGTCCATTTATATGTGTATGGTGTGTGCGCAGTGTTGGGGAACCTGCTTTTGACAACTTAACTTTCTAAGATACATGCTATTCATAATCTAATATAGCTACAGTCAAGCTACTCTTATGCTGAAACTAGCTATAGCTATTGTTCTCCTGTAATCTTTCTTTTTTCTTTTTTGTATCCGCTTTGAAGATTCACGTTTTATTTTCATTTTGACAGCCTGAGCCTTTCTATCTGGGACACTTTTTTATTTTATACTATATTTTATTACATTAAATATTTAAAGTATATTTTCACATCAGTTAAATGTGCTCATCTAATTTTTATTTATTTATTTTTTTTGTGATCTGATCAGATCTACAAGAAAATTTGTCAACATTTCCAGGTTTAAATGAGATTGATTAAATTAGAATGAAAATATTTTGTTCAAAGTGGCAGATCTGCCAGAAAGGTTAAAAGGACAGCTATTTAAATGTTATTTTCATTTCCGTTATATGTGCTCCTTTATTTATTTGTTTGTTTATTTTATTTTATTTTTTATTTGGCATGTTATGATCTGCAAGAAAATCTGTCAGTATTTTCAAGGTGTAACTTTGATTTTAAATCTTCGATTTTTGTAGTCTCCAACTTAATATTTCCTTCAAAGCGGCAGATCTGCCAGAAAGGTTCAAAGGACAGCTAGAATGAATAATAGTTTGGAAAAATTAATCCTGCACATAAGAAAAGCTGTCCTTCAAGTACACAAAGAAATTCCTTTCAGCCACTGGAGAAACGATTTCTTTGGTTCACTTGGGGTTGAAGGTCATCAAAACTCGCATTTTGCACCTCATCAACGCAATGAAAGTGAACCAGGCGGAGAAGACAATTAATCCCTAATTATATTAATGATGCAATTAGAACATACACTAGCTTTTCCTGTGAAGGGGACGGAAACCGGTAGCGATAGCTGCTATCCGGGGACTTCACTAGTGTCAGCCTGGACCCTCTGATGCTGCTGTGATGCGCACAACAAAAGAGTCGCGGCTCGCACAGCACTGCTCGTGCAGGAGTGTCTTTTGTTGCGTGCAGTTGTCTTTGAATGTTGACCTTGGTACGGAGCTCCCTAGCGACCGAGTAGTGAAGGAATACATGTATACGAGATCAAACCTGCACTCGGGCCTCACCTGGCACTGGCAGTCTTGATGTCTGACTTTCTGAAGAGCCTTTGCTCCAGCCACACTTGTCAAACGCTGCTGCTGAAATTAACGAGGAAAAGTTAATTCGCTTTGATCTCTCTCAGATATTCAGAGGATAAATTATTTGTCATTGACAGATGAGCCAAGTATTTATAATCCATTAAAATGCTATACAGAGCTGACGAAATGGAAGGTGAATGGCTTTTACAAAGACTGACGTGAGTTTAACTGTTGGCATTTATCCAATATCAATAAATCCTCATTCAAGTAAAAGGTTATGTAAGCTGACAATAGAAAACTGTACCTAAAAGATGGAAAAGTTTGTTAAATGTTCTTTTAAGCTTTAATTAAGTGAAATAGACGTTTACTGTGAATCACAGCTAAAATATGTTGATGATTTTAATTGTATTCAGATTTTATGAAGCAAATCTTCCATATTGATCCTGACACATGATCAATTACTAGCTATTAGCTGGTTAGTCTCACTGGCTGTTGCTATATCATGTATGTTAGCATTAGCATCTACGTTATGTAAGGTCCTGCCCCGGCCAAAAATGTTTTCAGCTAATCAAAAGCTTTTCTTAACCAGTTAGCATTATGCCAAACTTGTGGGCTGTCGTGTTAGCTTTTTAAACAAACAAACTAGACCCATTGGAAAATGTTTTGCCTGTGGCGACATTTTTACAAATTGATATTGCATTGTCTCTTGCACATTTTGCAAAAAAAATTTTTGCAAGTGCAATGCTGTACCAGGTGAGATACTGAGCAAGTTTACAGTGTCAGAAAATCCATACATATATGGAGCTAGTTATGTGCTGCAAACATCAAAAATGTATTAGTTTACAAATCATTTGCTGTAAATGCTTTGAGGTCATAATATAGTATTGTACATGGAATTGCATGAAAACAAGTCTTTATTAATCAATAATCTGCCCCTGTAATTTGTTTGTGGTAAAAAATGATTGACTGAAAGATCAAGCTCCATTCGCAGATTACAACATTTGATGGATACTCCAAAAACATGGCGGTGATCTTTATTGATCGTCTTGGTTCTAATCAGAGAGTGTAATTATTGACTCCTGTGAGGCCGTTTGGGCAATTTTATAAATGCAGTTTTAAAATTCAGGTTTGCACATCATGAAATGTGGTTAAATTGGACCAATTTGACTATTTTAAAATGTAAATGTATACATCCAGGCTTTTGGGCAAACTTTTTCCAAAGTAAAATCAAACGAGACTAAAAAAGGTTCAGATTACACTCTTAAAGGGGTCCTATTATGCTCTTTTACAAAGTCTTGATTTTGGTTTGGGGGTGTACTAGAACATGCTCTCATGCGTGGTGGTTCGAAAAACGCATTATTTTTCACATAATTTACATTATTAAAATACCTTTCTCCCCATCCTGGCACAAACGGCTTGATTAGTTCCGGCTTTGATGAAGAAGGTCCGCCTTCCGAAAAACAAAATGTGTTGTGATTGGTTAGCTGTCCCAGTGCATTGTGATTGGCGAACAGCTTAGATGGTGTTTCAGTACTGCCACGCCCCTTGCGCCGTCTTTCAACAAAAGCTTTTTGGCGAATCCGGCACTGTACTCCCTCATGTTGTGGAAGCTGTCTTCAGTAAAATGCGCAGCACACAATAGCGAATTGGGGTTATAATGCTCAGGAACAGAGTTAAAAAATAAATTGCAACCACTGTTTCCTGACATCAGCTGCTTTCGGAAGCTCAAACAAAGACGTTTGGGCATGGAGGTGAAAAAAACTGCGTTTCAGGCGGTTGCACACCGGACGAGAAGTGCAGCGTCGCGCCACGTCTTTAAAATTAAAACACATTATTTTCTATGAGTGTAGGCACACCGGCAGGCGCCATTTGGCCCAGCTACGTCATGTTATACTTGTAAGAATTGTTCTAGACATGCCGAAAATTTTACGCTACAGCACAGCAGCTCTTCTTCTTCGTTTTCTCTGATGCACTAACTCTGCAGCAGCACTTCTTCTTCGTCGTCTCGTCTGATGCACTCACTCAACCAAGCTTTCTAACCACAACCTCGCCCCTCCCCACCCCCCAACCATTCGAATTTCTGTAGGCGGGAATTATTTGTAATGATATTCCAATGAGCCGCTTTGTTATATCACAAAGCCCGGAAAACAAACGCTGTAGTCCAAATTAGTCTTTCGTTGTAGTTCTTGAAAATTGATTTTTAAAAAACAAAATATCTCCCTATGGAGTGGACTTTGAGATTTGTAACTTTCTAGATCTTTTTTATGCCCAAACATTCACACTACACACTGACTAAAATTTAAAAAAGTGAAAAAGCATAATAGGACCCCTTTAAAAGTAAAGGTTCTTTATTGACATTGATGGTTCCATGAAGAACCTTTAACATCCATGGGATCTTTCCATTCCACATTAGGTTCTTTATAGTGGATTTTAAAAATGTTCTTCATTCAGAAAAAAATCTTTCTTTTAAGAACTGTTTACTGAAAAGTTCTTTGGGGAATCAAAATGGTTCGCTGTTAAAACCTCCACTTGGAAGCTTTATTTTTAAGAGTGTACTTTGGTAGAGAGGTTCTTCACATGAGCATCTGTATCTAGAGAAGCTCCTCGCTCTCAGTGGAGCTGCATTCGCACAGCCTGACTGCGGACAGGTTTCCCGAGGTGTTTTACCCCAGCTTTAATCTATATTAAATGATTAGTTTCACAAGATGAAAGCCTGTTGTTTGTTTAACAAAACTTTCCCAAGTACAGTCACTGCCTGAAGCCTGCCAAAGGTTGAAGATACAGAGAGAGAGAGAGTTTGCACAACCCAAACATGTTCTTCAGGCATTCTTGGTTCTAGAAATTGGCATCAGCGCTGCTCGTTCTTATATATTAAACATATGTAAGCATATATAAAAGCATTACTATATTCAAACCTGCCTACAAGGGGCAAATTTATCAGCAAGTCCTCTGCGTTGTTGACGGGTTAAAGGGACCTTTTCATTAGCTGTAATGCTGGGAAGAGATCTGCCGCCGTGTGGAAGATGGAATAATTGTTTGGAATGGGGATTCTCAGCGGACTCTTCTGAGCTTGTCAGCTGGTGTTTGAAGTATGCGCTGACATTGGGAAAAACTCAAGGGCAAGTCTTGAGCAGGAAACAGGCTCTCAAATGGAAAAGGGAGGGGAGCGAAAGAGAACAGAAGAGGAAAAACAAAGGCGACTTCACACAGCTTGTAAATGGCGTTTGTGTTTTAAGTTGCTTGTGTATGTTTGTATATGTGTGGAGAGAGTTGCTCCTTAACTTTTTTTATTAAATATGAGATACAACCATTTCCCTCAGAGACCCTCGGAAGGCTTAAGAACCTCAAGGATCCGGAAAAAAGACCTTGAGTTTTCCACTTTGAGAGTCAACCAACATGAAACAAAGTGAAGAAGGACTCCTCACTTAGTCTACACTCAGGTGTGTCTCTCTCTTCGTCTAAAAGTAAAGAAAGAAACCTTTGTACTTTTAGGAATTTGAATATGATATGAAACGCCACAGGGCCTGCAAACGTCCCTTCCTGGGGTGGGATTGTGTGCAGTTGTTGATTGTCTTGTTGTGTCCACAAAAGCGTGCTGTGGCCAGGAAGATGCCCTTCAGTTTGAGGTGGATGTATTTTTTTATTGTATAAAGTTCTATATAAATAAAGGTGACTATTTGTAGGTTGTTTTGAGTTGATCTTAGTTAAAGTTGTTGTTCGCAATAGCACAAGTTTTATTAACCATTGAGGTACAAGAGGCCGTGATATATTTAGAAAATAGTCAAAGGGTGTTTATGCCATGTAGGTATTACCGTAATTATGAGATGACTATTGATGTTCACAAACTTAGGAATAATTTGTTTCTAGGCTCATAATACCAAAATGGATCCATGTCCAACTTTGTTTGTGTTTTTATAATGTATTTTTAATGTATTTTTATTTTACAATATTTAAAAAATGATCTTGTATTGTATTTGTTATTATCTATAGCTAAATTATTGTAAATATCAAACAAAAATATGTAGAGGTAACTAATTATCTTTATGTGCTAACGAACAAAATAGGAAATTATTATTGGTCAATTATTATATAAAGTTGTACCTTGATAACAATAATAATAATACTAATACTACACACATAATAAAAACAAATAGAACAATTAAGGACACAAAATTTCACTTTAAACACAAAAGGTTATATACTAAAGCCAGTTTGAAACTTCAAACCTCATGTTGATAGCAGTGACAATTATTATTGGTTAATTATTATATAAATTTGCACCTTTATATATTTTTATATATAAAATGCGTGTATATATACACTATAAATGCCAGACCTTTTCTCTGCACTAACTTTTCCAATTAACCAAATGATTCCAAAATAATTTTCTGCTTTCCAAAACTTTTCTACTTTCCAAAACTCCCATTTCACACTATAACATTTTAATATCTATCTGTAAATAAAAAGAAATTATAACAAAAATGTAAAAATATATATATATTATTTAATATAAAAACGATGTCATATTCAAATCAATGAATCAATCAGTAAATCCTTTCCTGTTACAAAAATTTGTTAACACTAACTTGTTATTTGTAAATATCCAAGATTTGCAGACAAATGAATAATAGTTTTTTTCTCAGGGGAGGTTTGTATATACAGTGTCAAACACTCATTTTAGGCCACTCACAACACATGCTTGACACTGAAAGTCTGTGCACTCCAACCTGGAACAAGGGGATAAATTATAGCAAACAACAAAAAGTTACATGAAGTTTCCCTGGGTGTCCTTTTGACAGGCAGTGCACGGCATAAAATGGCACAGTGCAAAAAAAGAGGACAACCCACTAGACAACTAGACGAGAAAGAAAACAGTCATGAAGAAAACATGAGACTTGTATTCTCTTCCTCGACACATATTAAACCCGAGCGAGGCTGGAAACGATTAGACAAAATCTACTGTCGAGGGAAAATATACATAAAACTTTTTTTTTTCTATCAGTCAAAACTGTGACAGAATTGTCACAGTCTCCTTTGAAGTTAGTGTTGGAAGCCAACGAGGGACCTTGCAGGCGGGTAAATAAAAGAGGGAGTATTTCTCCCCCCCTTTCCTTCGCTGGTTAACAGGGCAGCCCCCGCTGATCAAAAGAACATTAGCTTTGATTAATCAATCAATGCCTTGGCGGCCCACTCCTTCTTGTCAATGACTGGGGCTGCCAGCGGTACACCGAATGGAGGTTAGCGTATGATCCAGACCCTTCCTTACGGCGTGGCAAACATCCGGCTGCCGTTCTCACGCTGTGATGCCTGCCGAAATCCCCCACAATCGATCTTTAGTCCCTTTTACGGATTTAATTTGTGAAGTCTTTCCTGCTAATGACTCTGTTTGAGGTGTATTCATTTTACCACCACAGACTTCATCCTATCTGCGCTTCCTCGTTTGAAGTCATTTGAAGTTTTATCGCTGCTATAGAGCCGAATAACAAGCAAAACATTACAGAATATTGAAACCAACTTTTGCAGTTTATAGACATTTTGACTTTTTTTTTTACAACAGTGGAGGTCCATCATTGGGTTATCTGAGTTGATTTGCTAATTGAAAATTGAAAATTTGTATTACATTGTTACGCCAGTAGGTGTACAACAGGTGACTGTCTTTATGAGTGAGTCGTTGACTTATTCACTCAACCAGTTTGTTAGAAAACACTGATTCATTTCAAAATGAAACAAATAACTGTATTTATGAGTGAATCATTGTATAATTCACTCAATCGATTTTAATTGGAATGAAACACTGTGTGTTGTTGCAATGGTTCTGCTTTGGTTTCATGGTTAATTATTTTTTTATTTGTGAAGCAAAAATACTGTAAATATTGTGTCTACAATGTAACTTAGTTGCTTTTATACAAAGTTCAATTAACAAGATCATATTTGCAATTATATTGAATATCAGCAAAGCCACTCTGCCTTGGGCTGTTGAACTTTAATGCTAATGTACTAATGTATAATATTTACTCAAATCTCTGAACAAGTAAACACATATCTAGCAGTTTTTATTAGTAAGATGAGCTAGTCAACACTATGACCAACCTTAAAAATCTTTCATATGTTTCACAACAAACCTTACTGGTTTCATTTCTAATGGCTTGATATGCTCTGCAAATGCAAATGTAATTTCATATGACAAGGAAAGTAAACTTTCTTTCCAGAGTTGTGGGGTGGGGGCTCCCAGTGGGGGACGGAGTGCTGAAGAAGCCCTGTTCCAATTCTGTCATTGTCAAAGTTTGACATAATAAGTGACTGTTCCCGTGCCTTTGTTGAGTGATACAACACAAGAGCAGGGTCCCAATTCCTCACTGTTAATTTTTTGTTGTTTAAAGGGAAAAACACAAGATGTCTATTCCTTTAAGGGATGCTCGGCAGTGCTTATGCTAAGTAATATAACAAACCTGTCGTGATGTCTGTTTGAGCACCTTTTATCTTTCCAAATCCACAGGAGGGCTCTACCTTTACCATGTTGGAGAGAAGCGGCATCTCTGAAATAATTTAAGTAGCCCTTTTTTGAAAGCCCAGACAAGTTAAGAGAATTCACATCTAAGATCAAAGCTGTACTGTTGCAGTGCCACTGGAGTAAGAATTGGCTCTCTATCTTTCTATGTTGTGATCAAGTGCTGTTTTTTGTGGTTAAAAGGCTGTGCAAGCTTTTCCTAGCGTTTAACTATAAAGTTGAGTGTGTCTACATGTTTACTGCCAGGTGTGTGAACAGCAAATTAAGTGTCAAGATATATATGATGTCCACTGATGGAAAGCAAGCATTTATTATGTACCAGCCAAGAGACTGATTTATCTCTAACACCAACATTAATGTAAAGTCAACAGTGGTCATTCATTCTGTTACTTAAAATTATTCAATACTTCAGCTGACTTTATAAAGAGTAAGTGATTAGTGCACTGAAAATGTTTAATTCTGAGTGAGAAGCAGCAAGTCCACCATTACTGTTTTCTTGCTGTAGCTGCTGGAGATACAATGTCAGCGCCAAAGAGGCATTAAAAGTGTTGTGTTTCGGGATGCACCAACAAACATAGGAGACCGCTAAGGACACGGTGATTAAATTCAATTTTCGAAGGAAATGTCTTGGAAAAAAATGGAAAAGTCCTAAATGTTTGTGCTAATCATTTTAAACCGGACTGCCTCACAAACGACGGTCAGTTCAGTGCTGGAGTTGTGCAAAGGTTGCTTCTGAAAGAGGGATCGATACCAACGCTTCATGCGTGAATGTCAGCTCCAGACAAAGTAAGCATCACGCATCATATTTTGTTTTCCAAAAGAGCTTCTTGGCACTCTGTAAGGCTGTGTGTGGTTATGAACGAATGAATGAAACAAACGCATTTGTCCGTGTTTCACTCATCTCGAATCAAACAGTGTCTCTTCCACGGCTCGGTATGCTTTCAACTTGTTTTTTTAGTCTCGAGCAAGACTATACAACATTCACATTACATGATTTGACTGATTTTTATGTAGAAAGGGCGACAGTGCACCGCATTAAAAGAAATTATCATTCATGTTTTCATAACCGCTGGCCAAATAAAAAAACGAAACTAAAATTAAATCATCGTTGAGAGCAAGGGGGCCCCCTGGTGTTTCTACGCAGCTATCGTATTTTGCATATAGGAAGGATCGGCTCTGCCTGTAGCTCTTGAAGCTCCACCCTCTTTTGAAAAGGGAGGCGGGAGCACCAGCTTATTTGCATTTAAAGGGACAAACACAAAAACAGCGCGTTTTGGCTCATACCCTAAAAATGGCATTTTCAACAAGCTATAAAAAATTATTTGTGCGGTATTTTGAGCTAAAACTACACATACACACTCTGGGGACATCAGAGACTTATTTGACATCTTTTAAAAAGGGGCATAATAGGTCACCTTTAAGTCGCAATTGCCTTTTTTCATGCTGTGCCAGAAACAAAACCCAGCATAACAGCAGTCTGTTTTACTTATGTGCTATTTCAAATCTTATATTTATATTTATTAATTTAGCAGATGCTTTTATCCAAAGCCACTTGTAGGATACAAGCAGAAGGAATAAACCAAGCGTGTAACACAACATAAGTAATTTTACCATAGTGTATTCCTGTAAGCTTTGGAGTAGTGCAGGACTAAGTGATTTTTTATTTATTTTTTTGTTAAGAAAAATAGTTCATAAAAAAGGTTTGTTGAGTGCTATCAGAATAGGTCTTCGGAAACTGTATGATAACATTGTGTGAAGAAAAGTCCAAAATTATTTGCAAATTTGCAGATATTTGCAGAATCTAGCACATGTTCCAGTCTAAAATACAACATAAGTAATTTTACCATAGTGTATTCCTGTAAGCTTTGGAGTAGTGCAGGACTAAGTGATTTTTTATTTATTTTTTTGTTAAGAAAAAATAGTTCATAAAAAAGGTTTGTTGAGTGCTATCAGAATAGGTCTTCGGAAACTGTATGATAACATTGTGTGAAGAAAAGTCCAAAATTATTTGCAGAATCTAGCACATGTTCCAGTCTAAAATAAAAAAAATGGCGTTTGCAACCAATGCCAATAGTGTATTTATTTATTTATTTACTGTGGCCTGTTCTTCACACAAAGCCATCGTATGACTTCAGATGTCATGAAGTATAGTGGATTAGTCATGCTAAGCCATTTATTATACAAAGCATCATTGCATTTAAATTACACATATTTATCAGTTTTTGCTTTTCCTGCATCGAACCAATGACCTCACACCATGCTAAACTGTTAGAGCTACAGAAAGAAATTATATTTCGACATAATTCCATTAATTATTGACAGAATTTTCACATTTAGGTGAACCGTTTCTTTAATAACACCCTGATATTTGTGTAAGATTCAGCCGAACACCATTGTGTGTAAGGTTGAAGACAAGAAAGTTATTTCGCTAGTTTCTTTATTCATCTCTTTTCATTCTTGACAGATAAATCTGCTGGGATTTTCTCTCTCTCTCTCTCTCTCTCTCTCTCTCTTTTTTCCTTACACAAGAACATCTCTAATTTCATCAGCTCTCCTGACTGACAAGCATCATTACGGATAAAATTATCTTGGTAATTATCCAGCCGAAAAGAGATTTATTTCCCTTTGTGAGGAGGTGAGCGGATCCATGGGGCCACGTAGTGATCTGCAGCGTGGAGACGCTTCGTTAAAATAAGCATCCTAATGAGACGAGCCCTCCTGCAGAGTGCCGAGGCCCAAGCGTTACACCTAGCAGGAACACTCGCTTTTGTTCAGATGTGCATTAAGTAAGCGTGACCACGGTATCGTCTGTGTTTGGAGGGTCACTTATACAGGAATTCACAGTACGTAATTATCTTAATTTCCCCCCCGGAGCCATATCCGATATGAGACCTTCCGCCCATAACTTCTCTGACGCAACTCACTCGTAGGCCTGTGTCACAGAAAGGTGTCAAGCTACTGTCGGAAATGTGAGATGATGAACCGAGAGTTCATTGACTGAAGTACTTTGAGGTATTTCGTTTTGCAAAACTTTGCCTGTAGTTGCAGTTTTGAAAATTTGAATATTAACTTGCTTGAAAGCCGTCTGTAGACTTATCAGTTAACATGCACTGGTTAACTGAATTTAAAACCTTCATAAACACTAACATTATGATTATTTCGAATGATAGAATTGTTTCTGTTTCTTAGTAAATCCCATGAATGTATGCTTTTGGCTGAAACATTTATCCAAAGTGATTTACAGATACATTTTATCAGTATGTGTTTCCTGGGATTCGAATCCACAACCCATTGCATCAGACTTATTTCGATAAAGTGCTTTTTGAAATATGTACATGATTTGTGTTGGTAATGTTTTCTGAAAGTGACACTTGAGTCTCCACTTAACTGTCGTTTGTGTGTTTGATTTTCATAATTGATCATTAGCAATTGTACAGGTTGACAAATTTTGTCATTAAACTCAGAGTTTAGGTGAAGCTGATGGGGAAACAAGCTCTTTACGATAATGAGCACCAGTGTTTGCTGTAATTAAGTGCAGAATAAGTGGCCTCTTTTCCTAATGGCTTTGCTAGTTAAGGGTCATTGTCGATGGATAGATTATTAAAGACTGAAATAACTTAACAGGCACCTACGGGAACTTTAGGAAAACTTCCAATAGTACACAAGATTCTTAACCAGAAGCCGTCATGTTTTTTCTGTGCTATTTCCTTCTGGTAACTTTAGGTGACATTGCTAGATGTTGGCAGTTGCAGTACAGATGGACTAAGGGGATCTCTAACATTAAGCAAGGTCTATCCATCCATCCATTTTCCATAACACTTTATCTTCTGCAGGGTTGCAGATGGGTTGGAGCCTATCCCAGTGTCTCCAATCCTGCTCCTGGCGATCGACTGTCCTGCAAAGTTCAGCTCCAATTCTAATTAAACACACCTGCCTTTAATTTTCAAGTGGTCATGAAGACCTTAATTAGATGCTTTAGGTGCGTTTGATTAGGGTTGGAGCTGAACTTTGCAGGATAGTCGATCGCCAGGAGCAGGATTGGACACCCTTGATCTAGATCGGGGTGGGCCAACTTGGCCCTTCCAGGCCACTTTCCTTCAGAGTTTAGCTCCAACCCTAATCAAACACACCTGAACACACCTGACAGCTAATCATTGTCTTCAAGACTACTAGAAGGCTACAGGCAGGTAAGTTTTATCAGGGTTGGATCAAATCTCTGCAGGAAAGTGGCCTGGAAGGGCCAAGTTTGCCCATCACTGATCTAGATGGTTCACTCCTATTACTATGAATGGGATAAACTGCAGCATGCAATATGGCGGAATAAATCATCAGCCAATCGCCAGTTGGTAAAATCTTCATGTCACTGCAGTTGCCATTAAGTTCCCGTTGCCATAGTAACAGTTATCCATGTAAATGTATAAACAATGTTCTCTAAAATGCTTACACTCTTCCATATATACTTTTTAGGAATGTAAAAATATATTTGCGTATGATGTTATAAGTTCTTTCCACATCTTTTCAGCAAATTTTGCCTTAAAGTAGTTTATTATTGGCTAAAGTTACATCTGCCAGTGACGAGTATAATTCAGGCTTCAGTGTCGCTTGCAACTGGACATGCACACTGGCTGTACCTGAAATGCTTGCATTTAAGTACTATTTTAGCATAAGAAACAAGGTTTTTCACCATTCAAGTAACTCGAGTTAGTCTTGCATGCCTAAAATAGCTGCCTGGAGGAATTGCAAATATGGCCGCAGAGTGACCTGATTTTCTTTGAAATGGACTTTGGTAGCATGGACATGGACAGTGGTCAGACATACTGTTTGGTAATCATTATGCAAAAATATTTAGCGTAATGCACAGCTGGCAAATCAGAATCAAGTATTCCAGAGAACCATGTAAAAAAACGTGTGTTTTTGGCGGCATAAAACTGTCAGTCCTATCAAAGCACGTCACCGTCACAAGCTGATTGCATGATGTGAAATTTATGGCGTACACATGCACCAAAGCAAGTATTTGTACATACTCAGCATTCTGCTTTTGAATGTCCAGGCACAGTGCATGTGACAGTGCTGGAAGAAATGTAGACGCCGCCTTGGGTCGATACAAAAATGTATGTGCTTGGAGCCTAGGAGGCATTCAGTAATGAAATCAATAGCTGTGCTTGGCTCCTAGCATTAAGATCATTGGTCTGGCTGCTATTTAGTCATCGTTATCCTACAACCCGGGTGCAAGTTGGCTACCTGTGAAAAATCAATAAAGTGACACCACAGTCTGCATCCCAATTATTGGTGAGACTGGTGAGAGATCAATTCATGTGTTGGCCATTAACAGGTCCTTTTGGGAAATCATACTGCATTATTTGTGTTCGGTTCTCTCGCATACAAGCGCTCTCCTTCCCTGCCTCACTCTAAAACAGCGAAATATACAAAGCAACAAGAGATTGTACAGCCAAAGACCTAGTTACCTTGTTTTGCTTTGCCTCATGCGACCCTCACATCAGTGATCTCACAATAACATGTATTATTAGGTTGTGTGCTATAACCTACCAGAGTTGCTGCAAAATGTCACTTAAAATAGAAACTTAGAATCTCATTTAGAAAGACATTAAATAACATCAAGCTGTAATTATTTGATTGCATGATTGATTTTTTTTGTGTGTGATTCTTTTAAAGGGAAGAAAGAAATGCTAGTTACAAAACGTTCTGACTAAATTGTGACAAGCAATGTGCAAAGTAGCAAAAAATAATTAATACTTTCAAACAGGTTTCCTGAACATTTCCTCATCTGGACAAACAGATATTCTGCTGGTCGGGATGCTCTGAGCTGTATCTGTGTTAAAGTCTAATCTGAACTCTAATAAAAAATAATTTTACATTAAAAATGATCTTGTCACCCTGAGATTTGTATATAAGGATATAATAATAATATGCTTTGTTGCCTTGCAAAAAAAACTGAGCAAATTCAAAAATCATGGAAAATTTTGTATTTAATCAAATGTTTTTTAAATAGATATTTACATCAAGTAAATAAATAAAAGGAAATCAATCAACCAATAAATCTTGGAAAATGTGATATTTATTCAATTGGTTTAAAATAGATATTACGTCACCCTAAAATTTGTATAAAAGGATATCATGTTTTGTTGCTTTTTCTAAATAAAATAAATAAGACCGTAACATTTAATCAAATGGGTTAAAATGGATATTTATTTTAATTTTAAATTGTGTTCATATAAACTAACTACCAAAGTCTGGGGTTGATAAGATTAAAAAAAAATTTTTGTTTTTAAATTTTTATCCTCACCAAAGCTGTATTTAAAAAAAATAAAATACAAATAGTCAAACAGTAATATTGTGAAATATTACTAAAATTTAAAATAAATAATTTTTCAGCAGCCATTACTCCAATCTTTAGTGTCACATGATCCTTCATAAATCATTCTAATATGTTGATTCTATTCTCAAGAAACATTTCTTATTATTATCAGTTGAAAACGACTGCTTAATATTTTTTTGTGGAAACCACCATGCATTCTTTTTTACAGTTTTTTTTGTCTTTTTATGAATAGAATGTTATAAATGTTATTTACTATCACTTTTGATTAATTTAATGCATCCTTGCTGAATAAAAGTATTAATTAAAAAAAATTGATAAAAAAGATCTTACTGACCTAAACTTTGAACAGTAGTGTGTTTATACTTACTGTAACATTGCTATGTATAAAAATGTGTTCAATTAATGCAAATGAAAGTTGCTTTGCCATTTACCAAACTGTATTGTAAAAGTTTTAAACGTTCAGACTTTGTTTTTAATGAAATACTTTGTATTTATTCTGAATTCATAATATGTACACCACTTAAAGATTACCCAGTTCAACCTGATAGAAATATTTCATATAATTGAAATTCATAAATGCAAAAGTGTTGAAGAGCCAAGAAGTTGTGCTTACACTAGGCAGCCGTCCAGTTTTCAAAGTCTCTCCACTTAAAGATTACCCAGTTCAACCTGATAGAAATATTTCATATGATTGAAATTCATAAATGCAAAAGTGTTGAAGAGCCAAGAAGTTGTGCTTACACTAGGCAGCCGTCCAGTTTTCAAAGTCTCTTTTTTTTTAATAAATGTGAAACTACTATTAAGTCTAAAGGAAAAGCATTAGCGTTCTTCAGTTGAGGTGCAAATCCAACACTAATGATATGTGTCTTGCAGCATTACTATTCTGATGGTGAGGTTGTTGACACCTGACACAGACCACACTCTTAAATCTCTGACTGCAGCACAACATCTTTAAATCCCTTGTCCCACGTTGATTGACATCTCTCATGTGCTTCTCTGGTAAAGTAGCACAGCCCTACATTTCTCCCTGGAATGGTAAACACGAGGTAAAACATATTACTAGGAGAAGCCAGCAAACGGCAGCGTGTCATTAGGAGAATATCTCATCGGTCCACATTCTTTATCAACTAGCTCTCTGTGCCACACTTTCTCGTGCAGCTCATGCATATGTAAAGACCAGAATATGTTCCAGCAGAGATAAGGATGTTGCTCGCACCTGCAATGCCTTACAAAAACACAAGCACAATGGCAACATGACGTGCAGCTGTTTAGCGTGACAGTGGTGTAATTGTAAGGAGGGAGAAGACGTCTTGCTCTTCACTCAGCTTGAGACAAGACTAACTTCTCGCTTCGAGATACTCTATGGAGGAAAATGACAGGAGCGGAGAATGACTAGATCTCTTTAGTGCCTACAATTACATGGCATGATGCCTTATGTGTGCAGTCAATAGAATAAGGCCTAACGAAGCAGATATTTTAAACACATGGCTATAAGATTAACAATTAGTTAAGTGGGAATGCACCATGCGGCGTTCAGCATAACACTGAAAACATCTGAGGTCAAAAAATGAGGCGCATTTATATAGAAGCTGAAGAACACAATATGTAGATTTGTTCAGTTGACAGGCTTTTTATCCTAAGCAACTTCAAAAACCACTCTCATGAAAACTGGTAATAATTTGTATTGTCAAAATCGTGACTTCAGTCATACGACTTATTTTATATGTTATTTTTTAAAGTTTCTTTTTCTCATAAAAAATCCTATAGCATCTCATGAGACTGGGTCAGAACCTGTAACTTTGCCATTGCTAGTGTCACAACAGCACTTTAAATTAATTTCTAGAAGCGTTTTGTGATATACTTGTGCTAAGTAAATCAATAATAAAGTGCCGAGTTATGACAGTGCTTAAGTTTAGATGTATTGTGTGATACAAATCATAACTTCAAAGCTTGAAAAGTTTAATTTTTAAATTGAAACAAAACTTCCCTCAGACCTTGTTTTGTTTACGTCTAGTATTAAGATCCATCTCAGTAAAATGGAAGCCACAGAATAAAACATTTAAAAAAAGTAATTGCAACTTTTTATCTCACAATTATGAGTTTATATCTCACAATGCTTACTATTTCCTCGTAATTCTGACTTTCTGAGAATTCTGAGTTTATATTTCAGAATTCTTTCTTTTTGTATGAATTCTGAGTTTACATCTCACTTTTATAGTTTGTTTCTGCCACAAATTAAAATAAATAAAATAAAAGGGTGTTTGTGAGTGTTTATCTCAGTTTTTTTTTCTTGCAATTGCAATTTTATAACTCACAATTCTGACATTTTTCTTTTTTCCAGTTTCTCAGAATTGCAAGAAAAATGTCAGAACTGTGAGATGAAAAGTAGACATTTTCATTTATTTATTTTTTTAAATCATGTGGCCGAAACAGGCTCCCATACAGTTGATCTGTATAAAAGTGGTCAGAAAAGTATATTTTGATTACATAGGGAATAAAACGTTCTTATAGTGTTACAGTGACTGTTCAC